GATAATCGACGCTCTACTGTATTCTTATTAAGACTGTTTATTCTATGATAAAGATCACTTTTCAGATTTTGTTGTACAGTATTTCGGTTTCCATTGGAAACTGTGCATTATAGAATAACTAAACGTATCAAAATAATCAATAATTCTTTGAAGAATTTCTGAATATTTTGTCGATTTATTGATAATAGTATTTTCGTATTTAGTAAAGCGCTATTACCGAAAGACACAGAACTAAAATAGATTATGCAAAAGACATCTTTATTCTAGAACAAACATTCAGTTGTAATAAACAGATTACATAAGGAAGATTATAATGATGAATAAAATTTTATTATAATTAACTTTTAAATTTAGGTAATTATATTTTAAAAACATAAATAATTTTAGAAGTATTTTCATTATATTGATTTCATTTTACTTTCCCGGCTGTTATGTATATGTTAGGTCAGCCAAGGATAAAAGTTTGGAATGCACTCGTTGTATCGCTTATTCAGCAGCGCAATCGTTGAGATTGGCCTACTGAGTCGAAGGATGGCTTCCTAAGACTTTAATCAGAAACAATGTCCGTGAGGATCTCCTGCAAGTTGTTTTTCCTGACAGCAGTTTAGTTATAGAGTTAAACACGCCCGTAACCCTTTTAAATAAATTACTAGTGGAAGGTCGCGAGTAAGTATATCGGACATTGGCTCGGATGTGAGACAAGGATGAGTCCATATTTTAAACAATAATATGAATTTAATAAAACAGAATTAAAGCGAATTACAGAATAATTTATTGAAACCTATTACGCGGAGAGAGAGAGTTTACAATAATTCCGAAGTTATATACTACCTCGTTTACATCTGAAGTTAGGCATCTTTGTGGATCAGGAGCGATGGAATTTCTGTCAAGGTACTTTAGAAGAACGGCGGATCTCTTCGACGGCGGATAGGGGTGATAATTTCCGGCTGTGTAATTGATCTTCTCTTCTCGGTGATCGGAGACGAACTCCTCGATCGAAGGAAACGATTCAGTATATTTTAAGGATTTCGTCCATCAAAATGACGGATTTTATATACGTCAACGGGATGTATGAGGGTGATTAAAAGGGGTGAACATCCAGGGTGACGCTTCAATTTAGTAATAAGGAATCGGCGAAAGGAAATTCAACTTCCCTTTAATTGGGAGTGTGACAAAATGTCTTCCTTTTTCTCATCCGAAAAATGAAAGGTTTTCGTTTCTCTATTAATTACTTTTCTACACGATTTTAAGGAAACATTATTAATTAATTATTTGAAGACAGTCTTTATGAAAAGGTATCGTCACCAGGGGACAGCTTTTCTAATCTACATTTTACCAGCGCTTATTTCGTTGTAGATAAACGCCGAAACAACCCAAGAAAGTATGATGGAGAACAGAAGACGTCAGTATATCAGCAGTTCCTGTTTTAAAAATGTTTATTTTTAATTGGATGTATTCTTGTGTTTTTAAAAAACTTTTAGGCGTCCAGTATCCTAAAAAGAAAGTTAATATATGTCGATTTTTTTTGGGGGGAAAGACTATGTCTTCAAATAATTAATTATAATTATCGCCATCGGACCAAAATCTACAAAAATATTCATATATTTTTATTTATTATAATATAGCAAAATGGACGGACAGGTGGAAAATGCTTCTTTAATTAAGTCATTTAAGAGTACAAGTAAGCTACTGTATAAGAGCAACACGCATTTTTGTTTACATAGTAACCAGGCAAACGATATGATAATTTTTTATCTTATTGATTTTTGACGTTTTACGCACTGTATTTACGAAATCACTGCACGAGTGGTTGTTTCTCGTCTACGTTATAAGTCGATTTATTTTTCAGTAAAAGGAAAAGAATAATAAAATTATGATAAACGAGGCTAAGTATATCTATATATGTTCTTGTCACTTAACTCAACACTCGTTTATTCATCGCGTAGCCGAATCAAGCTAACTTTAATGGATACCGATATTAATGATAAGGGCGTTGGTAGGTCTTCGGAGAGGAGGTAGAAAAATGATGGTTATTGTACTGCCTATATTGTGGATAGGATAATGCTTATAACTAAGGTCGATTATCTCGCACAAGTTGATGTTCCAAAAATTTGCCGTTTTATGCGAATCCGTGTTATACGAAACAAAGAACTAGTGCAAAAAGGGAGTTTAGGTTCCGAAAATTAAAAAACCTGCTGTTAAATTCTTATTTAAATCGGATTTATTATTCACTTTTACACAGGTAAAATACTTATTTATTATTTAAGTAAATATTTTATCTACAACGAAATAACGGCTAAGATTAACTAAGATAAGATCAACTATTCACACAGGAACTAATCCAAAGTTTATTATACCTCCGATTGAAACAATATTTTCCAAACTAGAATTAGACAAATTGCAAGAGAATATAAATACTACGAAGAAACCTAGAAAGAAAAACGAAAGTCCCGAGAAACAAAAAGATTACGATATTAAAGTAGCAGAAATATCCTACGAACAAATAAAGAAACTTTTGGACAAATTATTAAAAGAGAATGAAGATCTTTCAAATTCATACACTCCAACCATTTCAACCACGACCATATGGATCATCCTTGAAAGTATAGGAATAATAATCATACTTATATACGCATTTTATACAATGAAACATCGTTGTCGGAAACGGAAATTAGAAAAGAAGGTAAATAAAACGTCACAACGAGACATTTCACTTCAAGAAATTCCTCGCAGAAATAATTTGGTAGAAGAAGAACCGGAATTAGTCGAACCTGTTGAAAGCTCAACTGAAGAAGCTTCAAGCTCAACTCAGACAAGACGACAAATTGTTCGTACTTATCGACTTTAATTCCAATTTGATTTTTCTAGACGATAATTACGTTTTTGATTGAAACTTTTATTCGATTGTTCGACATTGAAATTTCTGTTCACATATATCTTTAGTTTATAAGATGGCTTTGATGAGGACACAATTTGAAAGTTAAAGAAAGTATATCCTACTTTACGATAATATAAATTAATTAGATAGGAGATAATAATATCATATAGAATAGTTTGAAAACCTTTATCTTCCCCCACTTTATCAATGACAGCGGAGAAAATTGAAATATATAGAAGTAGGCTACGTGAGGGATGTTTAAATGCGAGAGATGCCTGTCGTCAGCGTGAAAGTGCGTGGTTAAAAAGTTCACTAAAAACTCGGGCTAAAATCAGTTTATTGGAAGATTTATTTTATTTTTATTTTATTTTCTGTTAATTTTATGTTATTCCGTTTCTCTTGCATATTTTTAAAAAGTTTTGTTCTAAATTTGATTTAAATATTTGTATTCTATACATGGAACGTATCTGTTTAATTTTCGTTTTTTTCGTTCTATTTTAGAAAGTGATGATATCATCAGTTTGAGTGTGGAGTTGAAATTTCTGCAGCTGTGAAGGTTCGAAATAGTGGAAGTTCAGAGAGCAGTCACCCGGACATCGGTGGCCGATCTTCGGGAAGTAAAAGTGGACATTAATTGCACATCTGGGATGTACTATCTGAAATTTTTGAGGTCGTAAAACCGGAATGAAGTAAGATTTCGTGACTTTCTATACCCATTTTGGGTGGGTATTGGAGGGCTTATCGGACCCAATTTTAGTTATTTTTGAAATTTAAAAGTACCGTCAGAAAACGGATGTTCTTAGCATAGAAGATAAAAAGTTTAACGATGTGCACTTAACGATGTGTAATAGTAAAGGTTTAAGATGGATTTGTGAATGTGAGGTTAAGGCAAAAGGTAACTCAGTGACCATTCGCCGATAAGTTTTAAGATTCAACTCCCAAAGGTTGGAGAGAGAATTAAAGGGAAGAAGTTTGATATTAACAGTGCGGACTAGGAGAAGTTTTCTGCCCGGTGTATTAATTATTGATTGCGTGGTACGAAAAACTCTAATACTACATAAAGTAAAGAATAATACTAATTGAAACATAAAATTAACAAATTTTTTAAGAGCAGAAATGATCTCTTTACTTTAATTACAAAAAACATAGAATAAAGAAAAACTGGGAAATACCGAAGCAAAAATTTAGTAATAAAGAGTAGATACCAGCGAAAAAAGATACACAGTCGACCCCTTTACAACGCGGTAGATACGTTTCACTTTTTATAGAATTTATGTTCTAGGAGTCCTTAAAAACATGAGTTAATCACAGCCCGGCACGTATGCAGTTTACGGAGTACGGCTGTTTTAAAGGTTTTCTTACATAAAATTAATCGATTCTATACTGGTTTGACTCAACATCTTTAAAACATGTATAATTTTTGGAATAATCCATATAAAATATGCTATAAACAAAATTCGTAGGATTACTTACTGAGTGTGCACCATTCGACGACGCCATTCCTTAAGCATGTTTTCGTCGTGGAGCGGTGCATCGAATGTCAGGTGCGTGTTTTCTGATAAATTATTTTTCTGCGAAAAATTTGCTGAAGTTTGGAGACATCGTTAACATAAATGTAATATTTACGGACGAAAATAATAAATGGTTTTTAGTAGGTCCGCTGCTCGTTTAATCTCAACAGTTTGTGCAATATCCGCTATTGGTGTAGATTCGACCAATCTTGTCGCGACACGAGTCAACGATGACGTTTTACAGCATGCCACGAGTTTTTTTTAGCGTCTTTATACGAATACGGTCGCAATTTTTTCGCCGAGATATAAGAATTCTTCTTATACTAACCCGTTTTATAGGGGTGTACTGTATTAAAACTGACAGTGTATAAAGAGCTTTATAGTGATATTGTTAGATTTATTCTCTGTCTCATCGCCGCCAAAATTTGTGTAGGTAGAATTTACCTGCTTTACAGAACAAAAGCGTTTAACTCAAAAGTGCAGTTTTTGTTTGAGCACAAAGTCATAAGCGTTCCAAAGAATATCACTGTTTCTAGTTTCTTGGACAACGTTATCGCTGTCATGTAGTCTTGATGTGCAAATGTCATTCTTTTACCAAATCAATGAACCATACATTCTTATTTTATAGACTTTATTTTATTATTAACGATATATTTCACATACAAATAGACAATCAAATCAATTGAAATTACAGTAAAATTATTCGAATTAAATTTTTAAAAATACATTGTAAATCACTGTAAAGCAAAATTGTCTAGTAACTTATTTCTATATATTTTTACAATTGATCATTTAGTCGAGTTTTCTTTTCAAACTTAAATAGAATAAAAAAGCTATTCGTCCAGCTTAATTTTTCTGTTTTTTACTCGGAGTTTGCGTTTGAGATTGTTCAAGAAAAACAGAGAAAGAAGGTAAAGACTGAGTAGAAGGGCCCGATTCCACTTCTATATCATGATTGATTCGAGTAGAAAATCCTGCTTGCATGTCTTTTTTATTCGAAGTTTCAGTTGAAAACGAATAATGGAAACTGGAAACAGTTTCTGTTAAAGACTCTGCATGCATCAATACTTTTTCCGAAGTCTCACTTGAAAAAGATTCTTCTTGAATCACACCTTTTTCCGAAATATTAGTAAACAGAGGTCCTGCTTGCGTCCAGTCCTCTAGAAGAATTTGAGCATGTGGAAATTGCTTCCCTTTTTTATCAGACATTTGTGTTGATGAAAATATAGAAGAATCATGAAAAGTGGGCAGAATTTCAGTAAACGGTTCTACTACCTGTGAGAATTCAGTTGAGGATGATAGTTGCATCATACTTTCCTCCGAAATTTCAGTAGAGAAAGGTCTTGCTTGAATATTTTCTTTGTTCGAAGTTTGAGCAGAATCATGGAGGCTATGCAGAGTTTGTGTTGTAGATTCCTTTGGACTTTGCTCTTCCTGCCGGTTTTGAATAAAAGGTCCTGCTTGCATCCCTGCTTTTATCAGGGTTTCTATTGTAGAAGGACTTGTTTGCATTAATTGTTCCTGCAGCATTGCAATTAACGAGGACCCTGTTTTCATAAATAATTTCTGCAGTATTGTGGAAATATGAAATCCTGCTTGTTTCAAAAGTTCCTGAAGAAGTGCATTTAACAAAGGTTCTACTGGCATCGATAGTTTTTCTAAGGATTGTGTGGATGATGTTTCTGCTCTTATCTTTGGTTCGTCCAGGGTTTGTGTTAAAGGAGGTTTTGCTTGCATCCTCGGTTCCATTGATTTCTGAAGGGTTTGTGTTGAGGACGGTCCTGCTTGCACCCGTGGTGCTTCCAATATCTGTGATGAAAGTGTTGCTTGAATCTGTGGATTCTGAACAATTACTGTTGAGGACGGTCTTGCTTGCATCCGTGGTGCCTCCACAATTTGTGTTAAAGGACTTGCTTGCATCGATGGCTCCTGGAGTGTTTGTGCTGAAGAAGTTCCTGGTTTCGTTTGCAGTTCAGGAAAGTTTTGTGGTAAAGACGGCTCTTTACGCATTAATAGTTCCTGCAGGACTGAATGTGAAAAATGTTCTCTACGATGCGATTTATACGTGTCACTATCGGCAAATATTTCTTTACAATATCTGCATTGGTAATAAAATGTTTCAAATCTGTGTTTTTCTTCTCCGTGCTTTCGTAATTCTACTTCACCATTGAAAACTTGTTGACAATCCAAACATCTATGTGATTGTTCACTCGCATGCTTATTTTTCTCTTGTTCTATTTGCAGATTATGTTGCTCTATCTGGTGCACTATCTGGTGAACCATATAAGTTTCTCGTTGTTCAAATGTAGCGTTGCATATTTCACAAACATAAAGTCTTGCTTCATGTTGGGTTTTTTCGTGTAGTTGTAAATCTTGTAAACAGAAAAACTCTTTTCCACATTTTTGACACTCGTGTCTGTCTTCTGCATGACTTGCTTGATGATGAATAAATGAACTTCTTTCGGAGAATGTCATTTTGCAAATTAAACATTGAAATTCCATTTTTCGGTACTCTGAAAATAAGAATAAACTGAATGTCATTGAAAAATATAAATTTTTCATCAATGGTTCCCAGACAGTAATACTGTGTATATGCCAAGAAAAATTGAGTCGAAAAATTAAACAGAAAATCCGAAATAAGTCGTTGTTAAAAACAACGAAGTATGTAATAAAAACGATTTATTTAACAGAAGATTATTTTTATAAGGAAAGATGAGTTTTTAATTTACAAAATTTGTGTTCCAAAAGTAGTTGTAACTAAATTAACCGTTGTATGATTTTATGCTTCCATTTGTATAGATGAAGTAAACAACACGTTCAATACCACAGTTATCCTTAATTAAATTCTTTAAAAGTTATTATTTTTCATTATGAAATACGACAGAGAAAGTGAGAAATAAGTCTATTGAAAAGTTATAGCTCTTTATTTATGTACAAAACACTAATATAGCTTTAAATGTATTAATTTTATCTGAAAAATAAAAACTTACTTTTTATTTTACTTACTAATTTACTTTAGATTATTTATTTTTTTAAAATTGTTCTGAAGATGAACGAGCAAACACTATATAAAATAAACGGTACAAATACATGCTCAAAGATTAATATTAAGAAATTTTCAACGCTTTTCGACATAAATGACAAATAATATAAAGTATAAAAGTCGTAAATGTTTTTCTTATATTTAAATTATAAGCAGTCATTTTTACTGCACTCGTTCAAGGTGAGAAACTGCAGTAAATGTTTAAAATATGCTTATTTAGCTGCAAACAATCACTGATTTTAAATTATTACTTGATTAAAACTTTCCTTAATGTCTTTCGATTGTGAAAATACCATTAGAACGTAAGTAATAAACAAGAAAATACATTTTATACTGAATAACTTTTCGATAAAAAGAGATTCGATGAAAATAGAAAGAAATGTTTAGGAACCATTAATATAATTTTATACTATAAAAAAGAAGTAATATTGTTCTAGTTTTAAATGCACATTAAAGTAATTTTTATACTTACAAACGGATTCTTTATTTACGAGGAACAAACTTCTCGTTTCACCTTTGCAAGTATTGGTTTAAATGCTGTTTAATTACCATAAGTGTACAGTAATTTAATTTTTTTTTCATTATAAATGAATAAAACTTTAAATTTTTTGTTAATTAATAATGATCAATTATAATTAAAAATTAATTAATAACTGTTTGCAATTTTTCGAAAAGTATTGAATTATTTAAATAATTCGTTAGTTTACTAAATCAAATTTAGCAGCAAAGTTAAGCAATTCTTTTTGTTATTGTTGAAGTTATTTAAATAATATTAGTTTATATTTAAAATTTACAGTTTTAGAAATTTGACGAGGTTATTGAACGTACTCATGTTAATTAGTAACTTTTCGTGGTAAATGGACGTTAATTCTAGTGGTACTAGTGACATTGTTTTTTTTATTGGAAACGGTAGAAAACGTTGGCATATCCTGTTTCTTTTTCAGCTCATTATTTACACACTTTACTCAGTGGTCACACCTAGCGATTTTTAGCCGCGCAGGCGACGGCAACTGCAACAATTTCGAGTTGAGCACATCTTGTCATTGACAAGACCCAGTGTCATTGACATTAAAATGGCACTCAGTTTCCTTACTGCAATGAACAAAAAAAAGGCGATCATTTTGTGAGAGCTAGCAATAATACAGAAAGAGATAAAATCTTCAATAAAAACGAAGAATTAAAACCCACAGACAATTGTGAGCCCGAATAAACTCGATCAATCTTGTTTGTGTAAAAGTATCCATTTTCTTACTTTCAGCCATGATGAAGTAGTTTGAATGTTGCCACACTATGATGTGACACAAAGGCGTTTGCTGATTGGATGCGCGTTTTTCTATGGGCGCGAGTAGAACACTTTTTGTTTCTAGTCGCAGTTGCAGTCGTGCCGGCTTTTCGAAAGTGGATTACAAGTTAACAAGAACAGCCATCATGGTTGCAGTTCCTGCGCGGCTGTAAATCGCCAGGTGTTACCACTGTTTTGTTACTCGCTTTCAAGATCGCTTTCTTTCATTTCACTGTTTCCTCTGCGAAATCGCGATCAATTCCAGGAGTCACCATATCTTGAAACAGACTCAAAAAATATACCTTTCCTTTTTTTCCTGGAAAGAACGTTTTCAGACAAAATGTAATTTCCAAACGTTCTCAATTTTCTCTCCGATTTGTTTAGAGATTATTTAAATCCTACTTATTAAATGTAAGAAATAAAGAGTAAAATATCGGTATAACGTCAACATGGTAAAAATGAAGTCTAACGCGTGTTTAGCTTTTTAACAATTCATATAATTTTTTCGGGCATGTTGTCTGGTGAAGTAAATTTAATGCATTTTGATAATGAAATCAATAAACTTACAATAAACATTCATTTCAAGCAAAAATAATAACGGGCAATAATATATTTGCTTTTATTCTAATTTTTAAAAAGGTCATTAATTTTATATCAAAACGCTACATTAATTTATACTCTTAAGAAAAATATACCAAAAAATTTGAAATTTGCTAACGAAGTAATATTAGCATGTCGCATTTACGCGCAAGTAAAATTACGATTTACGACCGGATGGACGAGTAGTCAAGATAGCAGCCTACCGCTCTGGAAACCTGGGGTTGAATCAGGACGTATTGAAATTTCCCAAGAATTTTTCCAGGTAGTCTGTCTGAATATACCAGGCCCCAATTTTCACTACCGGCCGTATCATTGTGAGCTTAACAGAGCCAATAATGGACATGCTATAAGATGCTTTCTTTTAGTGCCTTCAGGGGAAAAATAGTTTTAAAAAAATTACAGTAACAAAGTGCAAGAAGCTGAATTTTGCGTATTTTCTGTAAACGCATGTACCGGCATCTCTGTGTGCTAATTTTAAACTGTTTAGTTCTATATCTTAGCTCAGTGTTTCTTGGCATCTTATGCAGGATAATTTCAAAGACCTTGCGGACAACAAAATACAGACTATGGTTGCTAGCAGCCACATTCCCACTACTGAAATAGCACACAAAATAATTCAACATGGTATCGATAGACACTTCACGAACTACGCAACTCTTTTCCATCTAGCTACCAACACCACTAATCTGATCAGGGCCGATGGCAACCCAATGTACACGTTGCCGATTGGCACGTCTTTACCGATGGTGCAAGCAACGACCTAGGCACTGGATTGGCCTTCGTTATTTACGAGACTTCTTCCAACAAGGTGATCCACGAAGAACTCCACAAGCTCTGGGCCCACTGCTCTAGCAATCAAGCAGAGCTGTGGGCAATGTAAAAGGCTCTCTCTACCATCACAAAGCACCTCCACAGCTTTAAGGGCAGTATCAACTTCTTCACTGATAGCAAATACGTGCTCAGTGTGATCAATGGTGCCAAAAAGCTTACAGTCCCGGGAATTAAACTAAACCATCTAACAAATAACCTTAACCGCTACAGGAATATTTCTTTTGGCTGGGTTCCAGGCCACACGAATATTCCGGGTAACGAAAGGGCCGACAAATTGGCCAAACGGGCAGCGGAACTACTCATAAAACCGTCCTTCAGTCTTCTTCCTATCACCTACATCAAAAACCAGATATACGACCGCAGCATAGACCTTTGGGATAACGAATGGAACAACTCAGCAACTGGCCGCACAACGTTCACCTTCCTGCCATCAATACACAAAAGACAGAAATATCACTCCGTCGTTTTCCTTGTCTCAATGCCTAACCAGATTATGGCAACATCCCGTCCTACCTCTACAGAATCGGAAGACGAAGCGACTCGAACTGCACATGCGACAACACCACCGAAGGAGACACCTTTCACATTTTATTTGACTGTCCATTTTACGAGACGGCCAGAAGTTAACTAAAAAAATACTGCATCTCTCATTAACAATCATGGCCTTCAAACTTGGACTTCCTTTGAACCCATAAGAAAAGCTTTACCCAGCTAACAAACTTCGTGAACTCTTGCACTGCTTTCCGCATTGACTTTCCTACGGGTATTGACCAAGTGGACTCCTCAAGCTAGCCGCTACCTTCTGCAGCTACCTCGACCACTGCCTTCAGTGTACTTTATGTAAATATTCTCATTCCAGTGTTGCTCTATGTAATCTTTAGCTCATCGGGGCTTTATCTCCCCTTTTTTGTAATTCCCCTTTTTGCTGTATTCCCCAGTTGTGTAAAGTGCTTATACGCACCCCCTCCCTGCCTGCCAGCAGGCATGGTAACGTGTGAATTGCTCTGGCTATGTAGCCACTTTCTCACGGTTTATTGTCTAGGGCTATTAGCCATTCTATGGTACTCACCAACAGATTGTTTATCGCTCTCTGCAATACTCTTTCTACTGTATAACGTAATATTCCGGCATTCCTGCATGTTTCCCTACTCGGGCTTCCATGAGCAAATATTGTTATCACCCCCCTATTTTAATTGTAACTAATCCTTCTGTTGTTTGCTGTTCCACCTCCGTGGCAGCGTGTAATATGTACATAATCGTTGTATTTTGTAATAATCTTTACTTCATTGTAAAGTGCAACAAGCACTAGTCAACAGCGACCACCCTATATTGTATATGTACTATAATTGTTTTCTACTTACAAATACGATGCAAGGCACTCGTGAAATACCCAATCTATCCTCTCTTCCTTCCAACTTTTCTAAACCTCTCATACCCCACCCTCTACACCCCTTCTTCCTTCCTTCTCATATTCAGGCCAAGTCGAAAGACAGCCTTCTGATTTTTAGCAAAAAGTAAAATAAGTAAAAGCTCAGTGTTTCTCAACGGGGGCGATATCGTACCCATGTGGGCGATTTTCAATGTTGAAAGAGAGATTAGTGACAATTTATATTTTGGGGGGCGAAAAACAATTTTATTGGCGATATAGTGAAACATTATATTAATTAAGAATAATTAGATATTTTATTCGTTATATCATACAATAATTAAACAAATAACATTATACTAGTCACTAGTCTATTCAATGCAGTACGAATATTGCATTAGCCTTGGTCCTCGGCCTCGGAATTTTGAAGTGAAGAGGGCGATACTACGTTGAAGAAGCGATGGTGCGTTATAGGTTGAGAAACACTGTCTTAGCTTCATTTTCTTGTTTTGACAGACTGTAAGATATTGTTTTGGCTATTAAAGTATATTCTTGTTTGAGATGAAATTTCAGAAGGTGATTAGGAAAATTTTTGAATAAACAATAATGCTATCTACTTGTATTTCAGTCACATATTTTCATTTATACATTAATTATTTAACTGATAGTATGCAATTATTAAGAAACGGCTTTGTTGTATTTCCATTAATGAAAAAAATTTGTATTTATTACCTACGCTGTGTATATTTTATAAATTACGGTTTAGACATACAAAGTAGTTAAATTATTTTCGTTATTTACGATTTTATTGTACAGTGACCCCCTATAACGCTTAGATACGTTCCACTTAATGAGAATTTTTCGTTGTAAGAATCCTTAAATACGTGAGCAATCACAGCCTGACACGTGTGAAGTTTACGAATACGGCTGTTTGAAAATTTTTCTTCTATAAAATTATTCTGTTCAAGACTAATTCGACTTAACATTTCCAAAACACGTATAATTTTTTGGGAATAATCCGTATAAACTTTGATATAAACAAAAAATTGTAAAATTATTTACCGAGTGTGCACAGTTCGACTACGCCGTTGCTTACACTTGTTTTCGTCGCACAGCAGCGCACCAAACGGCGGCCGCGTTTTTTGATAAGTTATTTTTCTGCGAAAAATTCGTTGAACTTTGAAGACATCATTAATAGAAATAATTTTATGGCCGTTGAATAAGAAATGTTTCTTTCGCAAGAAATGTATAAAATTAGTGCTGTATTAGACTTACGGTACCTAATTTACATACAGTACAGACGATAGTAAACAACTTACTCGCCTAAACTTTCCGTAGCGTGGCGCTGGACGGCAGAAAGTAGTTCGGCTGCTCATCCACTATTGGTCCAGATTCGACCAATCTTGTCGCGACACGAGTCGGCGACGACGTTTTACGAGTCCCTTTATACGAATACTGCCGCAATTTTTTCGCTACGTTATAGAAATTTTTGTTATAGGAACCCACGTTATAGGGAGTCGACTGTATATAAATATTTATTTTTAATACAATAAGAGAATGTTATAGCGTAATTATAAAAAAATGCTTTCGTGCAGTGCCGTCCTACAAGTTTATCCCGCCCTGTCTGGATTTTTGTTAGCATTAGTTAAAAAAAACATAGGCGCCCGTAAAATGGTGCTTATTGTGGAACTTCTACTGTACACTTTCGTATTCTAGATAGCTTGGGCCAAACCTGGCCAAGGGCAATTACATTGTCTGCTTCATTGTCTATTCATGAATACACCTTTGCATACAGTTTGTTTTATATAAACTAGTTAGTCTTTAGTTTAGTTATTCGAGTAAATTAAATTATTTACTAAACAATGCGTCTGTATTAACTCGAATACTTCTCTTAACTTGAATAAACTTTTAAAGCAGTTAATATGTAATATAAGAAAATTTTATTTAAAATCAATATTTGCCAAAAAAAAATGAAACCATTATTAAATTTCCAAAAAATTTCGAACGAAATTAGAACTATTGTGTATTAAGTAATATTCAAAATTATATTATTATATCTTAAACATAACTAAAACACCTTTTTAGCAATTGAACCGAAGGTCAACGAATGCTGCGAACAATCAAATTTTTGTATTGCTCATTGTAAATTAAAAATGGTTGTGTATGTATAAATAATACTTCAATATTTAAAATTTAAACTAAAAACATTACAATGAAATTGAGACGGAGCAAGAAAGAAAGAGGTAATCCGTGCACTTTCTGTAAAATCAGCAATGTTGGCTAATTATTTCTTGTAACTGTAATGATAGAAGTGACCCGAAATCGATCAGGACCGTCGATAGAGATAATTTTTTAAAGTACTGCAGCAATTTATATTATTCGAATTATATCTTTGGTACAAATTTAAGCAAAGTGTCTGTTTTTGACGAGCATGATCGTCTGCAGAAAATTATTTACGGGGAAAATAAAGCTAGAGATAAATTACAGAAGTTTATTAATTAGTTATTTCATATTTCTTGGCTTTTTAAAAAGAGACAAGAAATTTTACAAACACAAAGCGTTCCACGTCCGGAATGTAAAAATGCATTTTAATTATTATTACGATGATTATTTGTGAAATTTTTTAAATTTTTAATTAAGATCAAGTGCCCCATTTGCCCTTCTGCAAATGCCCATGTCCACTATTACCTGGATTTCGTTACTGCTCCAAGGCAAGCTATATCACTTTGGTCAGTTCTATTGGTTATAATACATTTCCGCACTCGCGCTATGTTTATGCCGTCATGTAGACCTAATATGAGGATATCTCTAGTTGAAATTAATAAAGTTATTTTTCATTTCATTTAAATTCGTTTTATTGTAGAATTATATAAAATACAAATACACAATAAAATCGGTTAAAATTATATAAAATATTTTTGAATATCAATAAAATGTTTAAATCGTTCTTTTTATCAGTGCGTTCGCATTACAGAGTTTCACAATTATTCTGACATATTTACAAAATTGTCGTTTGCGAAATTGTATGCGGATATTTGATGTATTCTTGTATTTCTGTTCAGTTTAACTTTGCTTCGTTTCTCCAAAGTTGAACTCGAAGAAGTAAGATTGTAAGTATGTAAATTAGCGGGTTTTATAATAAGAAAGTTCATGTTTGCATCCTCTCTCCTTCCTAAACATGAGCTGAAGATGTTCCTGCTTCTGTCGTCACTTCTTCCTGAACCTCAGCTGAAGAAGTTTCCACTTGTTTTACTTTTTCCTCTGAACTGCCAATTTTCGAAGTTTTTGATGTTTTCTTTATTTTATTCGAAGCTTGAGTTTGTGGAATAGAGTTATTATGGAATCTGAACACAATTTGAGCTGAAGAAGATCCTGCTTGTGTTTCTTCTTTCTTTACATGTTTATTTCGGTCAGGTGCTTCTATCTGATGAGATTTCCTGTGCAATTCATATTTGCGTTTAGACGAAAATCTTCTTTGACATGTATCGCAGTCAAAGTAAGACTTGTGAATTGCTTTATGTCTATTAAACTTTGCAATATTGTTGAAAGTTTGAAAACAAAATTTACACTGAAACTTTTTTTTTCCTGTATGGAACTTCATATGAAAACGCAATTTTCTTTTAGTTTTAAATTTTTCACCGCATACACTACATGGAAGACGTCTTAAATCCAAGTGTTTTTTGATGTGCTTTCTGCAATTTCGTTTACTTGAAAAAGAACTTGGGCAAAATCTACACTTGTGAGCTTTCAGTACACGAGGTCTGTCACGGCGGGATTTATCTTCCATTTTCTATACTTGGAGGTTCTGTATAAAGACAAACTACATTTCAGTTACGAATGTAAACTTTGAACATTATTNCACCAACACATCCTCCGACCGTGAGGAGATACGTACCTACATTGATAACAGTATTAATATAATTGAAACAGCCTGCAACAATTTCATCCCAAGGTATACTAACAAGCGAAAGTCAGTGCCATGGTGGACAGGAGAATTAACAACACTCCGCATAAAAAATATCAGGTTGCGGAAAAAGTTCCAGAAATGTAGCACAGAACCAAACCGAACCAACCTTAAAATTCAATACCTGGAACATATTCGGCACTACAAATTATCCATCAAAAAGGCCAAACAAGATTCTTGGTCAAAATTTTGCTCTGAAGCAAGCAAAAACCCTTGGGGCTTTCTAACTAAGTACTGTACAAATAAGCTTAAACACAGGCAAATTATGTACTCTACTGTGGTCGGCCAAGATTTTATTCAAGCAGCCAACGAGAAGATGAATCAATTTTGCTTGACTGACATGGAGGAACAAGATTCAGATTGCCACCGCAGAACTCGAGAAATCTCTAATAGTGAACTTAATACCCAAAATACCCCTGATTTCCAAAGGCATGAAATAGCCTGGGCCTTTGCAAATCTAGCCAACAAGAAAGCACCAGGGCACGACGACATCTCCCCTGAGCTTGCTAAGCAACTCTGGAATGCTATACCACAGCACCTAATATATATTTATAATGCTTGCCTACGATATGGTGTTTTCCCGACTACCTGGAAGTGTGCCAGGATAGTTCCTGTGCCCAAACCAGGACGCCCTGATGAATTCAGACCCATCTCCCTCTTGCCTGTCCTTGGTAAGGTACTAGAGAGGCTCATTGCTAACAGACTGTCATGGCACCTGGAGAGGAACTATCACCTGAACAACAATCAATTCGGCTTTCGTCCACAGCGCTCTGCTGCTGATGCAATCGAAAAGGTGATCGTCAGGACCAACCAACTCCTGGAAGAACATAAGTATGTGCTGGCCATCAGCCTGGACATCGCGAAAGCATTCGACAGTGCCTGGTGGCCGGCAATTCTTCAGTGCCTAAGGAAAAAAGACTGCCCTGCAAATATTTACAAGCTACTCATGGACTATCTGGAAAATAGATCTGCGGAACTACACTGCGGTGGGCACACAGTTCATCGGAGTGTTGTCCGTGGCTGCCCACAGGGTTCAGTGTGTGGCCCCCTGCTTTGGAATGTTGTCTTTGATGATCTGCTCCAGCAAAACTTTGGACAACATGAGATTATTGCATACGCAGATGATGCATTGGTCCTATTTGGAGGCAATTCAAGAGCAGAGTTGGAGTGCCATGGTAATAACATCTTGGATAAAATTCTAAATTGGGGCAAAGACAACAAACTTACCTTTAATGCCACGAAGACTAGCTGCATCATTTTCAATAAACCTAGGCATCAACATCTATACCGCAGAGTACCTACCATCAAGATGGATGGCCATACTATACGCAGCGTTAAAACTCTTAGGTATTTGGGGGTTATTCTCGACCACAGGCTGCTGTGGAACGCCCATGCTACATACATTAATGACCGTACGGGCAGAATTTTTAACACCTTCGCAGGAATTGCAAAGAGGCGCTGGGGCTTGGCTGCTGAGGCCCATGACATTATATACAGACAAATTTTTGTGCCAATTACAACTTATGCTTGTGGCAGTTGGGGGCAGGCTGTACACAAAGTGCATATCAAGAGGAAACTTATTGCAGCCCAGAGAAGAGCCCTCCTGCAAATTACCAGGGCATATCGTACAACACCAAATGCCTCAATCCAAGTCTTAGCCAGGAAGCCCCCCATCGATAAAATTATCACATTCCACTCCAATCTCTGGCAAATAAAATGGGGTAGGGACATCAACACAAATAGCCAGAACATAAGACAAGAAGATTTCGAGAGAGTTGTGTGTTTTGCCAACTCAAGGCACCCGGCAACCCCCAACAAAATCCATTTTGGCACCACTGAGAACATCGACATCAACATTTACACTGATGGGTCGAAGTCGGACTCAGGTGCAGGTTGCAGCTTTGTTGCCTTCTCCGACGACATTGAAATTGCTCAGCAACAATTCCGGCTTGGAGAGCACTGTTCTGTTTTCCAGGCCGAGTTGTTTGCTATTAACATGGCAGCACTTTGGTCGGACCGCAACTTCCAGAATAAGAACATCTGTATCACTACTGACAGTGCCTCAGCACTAGCTCTTCTCCAGGGCAGGAGTCTACACCCAATTGCTAACTCTATTCTCGATACAATCAACTCCTCCTCTTGCCGTTACCAAATAAACTGGACGAGGGCCCACCAGGGCCAACATGGTAATGAGAGGGCTGATGCCCTTGCTAAGGAGGCCTCAGGTAATCACGACTTACCCATATCCTATAAGAAAATGGACATTAGAACTATAAAAACTATCCTTTGGAGTGACTTAATCATCGAGTGGCAGCAGGACTGGAATGAGAGCAACACCATCACCCACGATTACTTACCGGACATCCAGCAGCTACTAAATAGTAACTTTTATTCTCCAAATCATCAAATGACGCAGATGCTCACCAATCATGGATCTTTCTTCTCATATCTCGCCAGATTCAAGGGCAGAACCGACAACATGTGTCCCATCTGTGGCACCATAGACAGTAGCAGACACTACATCCTGCATTGCCCAATGGTGGAACAGGAGCGTCTTCATCTAAAAATTACTGTTGAAGCCCATAATTACAACTGGCCTCCCTCTAACTTTGTTTGTCTGTTCAGGCACAAGGACACCTACAGTGCCTTCTGTAACCTTGTAAACATGTACTTTAAACGAACTACTGTGCCTACCTACACCTAGTGCTCTTCTGAGCCTAACCTCCTCTGTTTATATGCGTTATGTATTTTGCATTTAATTATTTTGTATACATTTTACTTATCTCAATTCTGAAACTTGTACTTATGGCATCTATTAGTTTGACTTAGTTACTCATCTCCAACAGTTTGTATTTATGGTATTTGTCCTCTTACCAATTTTCCTTGTAATCTGTATTCATTGTCACGACTCACCCGGTTGTGTGTAAACGGTACCGGGAATGTACCTTTGGTATATTATCAATAAAAATATCTGTATCTGTATCTGTATCTGTGTATATAATTACCATTTGTTTAATGTATATATAATCCTATACTCACAATATATTCAAATTTATTACTGTGATCATACAAACAATTATTAGTTTTCTGATTTATGTTTTCTCATATATAAATATTTTTGTAGCTCAATACAATCTGTAACACTATTGATTTGTTGTTTCCTCATTTTCTGGTGATGCTCACTGCGGTACTAGAACATGTATAAAATTATACCATAATAAACAATGATTGATTGATTGATTGCTGAGCTGTTCCGCGACGAAAACAAGCTTGAGCAATGGCGATGTCGAATGGTGCACACTCGGTAAGTAATCCTACAATTTTTCGTTTAAAGCGCAGTTTATACGGATTATTTCCAAAAAATATTCGTATTTTGGAAATGTTGAGTCGGATTATTCTAGAATCGATTAATTTTATAAAAGAAAACCTTTCAATCAGCCGTAGTCCGTAAACTGCACACGTGTCAGGCTGTGATTGGAAGCACTCGTAAGAAATCGGATTCCTACAGAATGGAACGTACCTATGATCTTATAGGGGGGTCGATTGTAATTTTAATTATATGAAAATAATCGCACAATATTTTATTATAATTGCATTATGTATCTTATTACACATTTCTATAGTACATGTGAAAAAACAATAAGATTGCTATTGTATATTCGAATATTAGTGACAGAGTGGAATCGCTGTATTGTCAGTATCCAAAAAGTCAGATTCGCGCATGCGCTTTACAGAGCACCAACCTCACCTGGTTTAACTAGTGGAAGCTATGACCTTGGCTGGATGCAACACATATAACGCATCCAATTCTATCCGATACCAGTGCTGGGCTGTTAGCCACCTGCCTGCTAGATATTTGGCTGCTCTCACCCGATTACGTGAATAACGAGTAGATTTATAATATAACCCAACCGATAAAAATTTGTTGTTATGTTTTTATAATAGTTCTGTATAGTTGACAAGAGTTTAAAAAATCCATTAAAACGTTTAATATTTTTATTCCGCTATACGATTTTATATTACTCACAGATTTTAATGTTAAGTCAGTGATATTACGATTTTTTATGTTCCATTTATAAGGAGATGTAGAAAAAACGTGTACAATTCTTATATAATGTTAAAAATTTAACTGTTGCTTCGACAGCATCATTTACAACTAAATTTAATGAATAAGAGAGATGCACGAGGTACAAAAAAGCTCTAGAATTTATTTTCCTTAAATTTATAATTTATATATTTGTTGTCATAAAAATTTGTCTTTCCACTTCTTTCCTGAGACTAAAAATACTCGAGTACATAGTAACTAGTTTCGACTTATTTCTACTTAAGAATAGTAAAATAATTAGGCGATTAGTGAATTGGGGTGATAAACAAAACCCTGATAAAGAGCCGAAATTTTACTTAAAAATAGCTTAACCGAACCAGTTCAAACCGAGTATAGTGGAGACTATTTCTTCGTATTATTGATGTAATAAAGACAGAAATTTTCCAGTTCAACGAGAGTGACCGAAAAGTTGTAAAGTTTGGAAATTTCTGGGGCACTTAGTCCTGAAACGAATTAGTAAGAAAACAAGTCACTATTAATTTTAACATATTTAGATTTTTACAGCTATGGTGAGAAATGTTTAAAATCTACAACAGCCCAGTCACGTCCTTTGAGATATACTAGTTTTGCCACAAAAGATGTACTTGACATCGACTGGTATCGGCACCCTGGGGATTTGGCAGTCCGCGTGTATGCGCGCTCTGCAACCGTCTTCGATTCCACCTATTAGCCACTCGTAGAGAGCTATTTGACCAAGTGGATTGTTTTAAAATTTAAA